CACACACACACACACAAATGTCTTAACGTTTAATGTCCGCCTGTGGCTCCAGGGCTGAGGACTCTGAGCGCTGCGGAGCTGTCAGAGCGTTTAAAGGAGATGGAGATGAACACCAAGAAGTTTTCCGAAGAGCTGGTGCAGCAGCTGGCCGTCAGGGACGAGCTGGACTTCGAAAAGGAGGTGAAGAACATTTTCATCTCGGTGCTCATTGACGTGCAGAACCGGCAGAAGGAGCACAGGGAGTCACTGAAGAAGAAGAAGAAGCTTAAAGGTGGAGCTGGGACAGGGCAGGGCGGCGTGGAGAAAACACCAGCGTTGGTAATGAATGAATGAACGACTTTCTTTATCTTATAATTGTGTGAAACGTCTGTCCATCACCGTTTCCCACTGTTTTCAGTCAAGCTGCACTTTTTTCCCTTTCAAGTTTTCACCTCTTCATGCGTTTCCTCCACTTCCTTCCTCCCCAGCGCTTCAGCATGGAGGGAATCTCTTCCGTTATTCAAAACAGCTTCCGGCAAACATTTGGAAGTGGGTGCAGTGAAAGACAGGTTACTTTTGTCTGCTATTTTAGCTACTGAAACTGTTTTTTTTCCAGTAGTTTTGCTCTGGATTTAAACGCAGCACAAATCTAGGTTAATTTGTCCCATCTAATTTCTTTTAAAATCTTTGACCTTTTATAGTATTTGACCACAGTCATCCCTTATGAAAATAAAGGGCACTCACCGTCTACCGAGGACCTCCAGATCCTGACTAAGAGTAAGTGTATTCATCTCTGCGGTGATGGGTGACTTAGTGCAGCTGAGTCACTTTGATTTTTTGCTTAACTCTGCAGTTCTGCAAGCGATGAGAGACGACAGCGACAAGGTGCCCGGCCTGCTGACAGATTATATTCTTAATGGTGAGCTTTGCTCTGCGCCGTTTGTTCACGGAGGATATCATTGACGTTAGGCCTGTCACGATAACTGATTTTGTCGGGCGATTGTCTCAGAAATTATTGCGATAAACGATAATATTGATAGAAATTTGACAATAATCAGTAATTATTGTCAAATTTAAGAAGAAATGTTTAATTTGTTTTGCGTGTAGTACCTTTTTTTGACCACCGGATGTCAGTATAAGACTGAACCGAAGGATGGATAGTGAGGGTGAGCGTGTCTCTTTAAGAAAAATGGGAGGGAGGCCCCTTGACATGACACGTGTCATTCCCCAATCTGTTACGGAAGCACGATCCGTAGTGTACTTCCGGGTCACACGGATCACCGTTGTTCATGAATAAAAAACGTCTTCATTTACTTAGAAAAGTACGTGCTCTGTCTCCGCCGATCTTCATGTAGCTAATTTACACCACTCGTATTTCTGTTGCAAATCATTGTTTAAAATGATATGGGACACATTAGACCCGACCCCCAACCTGAATGTGAAACGGCGCCGCTCAGTGGTGAAGCTGCATATCATTTTAACCATGACATAAATATGTCAATGATTTTAACGGAAATACGAGTGGCGTAAATTAGCAACACGAAAATCGGCGTAGAAAGAGCACATACTTTTCTAATTAAATTGACAGTTCTTATTCATAAATGGAATTATACTAGTACATTTTCCTTAATCTAGCATATTCAACAGCGATCTGTACGACCCGGAAGTATTCCTTTTAGCGCATGCGCAAATGAGCTACACTACGGATCGGGTTCCATAACGGATCGGAGAATGAACCCGGGCTGTCTCTCTTCGGTTCTCAAAATGGTGGACGTTCGATGTGGTTTGAGCTCTTTAGCGTAGCATTTTTCACACAAAGCTTTTAATAAAAATAAAAAGCAGTAAACACGTTCTCAGCTTCTTTTTGCAGAGAAAAACAACTTTTTACATGAAGGCACGGGTTTCAACCTTGAATTTTTGGAGCTTCGACAAGACGGAGGTTTTTTCCTTCGAGGTCGGCCTGTTAGCTTAGCTCGTAGCTTAGCTTCTCAGCTTAGCTGCTTTTAACCGTCCAAAAACACAATTTTGGACAGTTAAATGGATTTTAAAGAGAAAGGGAGGAGTCAGTGAAGAACACTGGAGTTGAGCTTTTTGTCATCCAGTGTCTTCAGTAGAAAGAGAGAGACACGAAGAAACAATAAAGCCGATAAATGAAAATGAGGTCGATCATTTTCATTTGTCATGCGATTAATTGATTTATTGTTTGACAGGCCTAAATGATGTTTCATGCTTTTAGATCTTTAATCTTTTTTTTTTCAATTTGCTATAGATGTATTTAAAATAAATGATCAATTTACTTTCCTAGTCTTTAAAACAAAAACAAAAAACACATCCAAAAGAGACTAAATGAATGCCAGTGTATCCTTTGTGTCTAAAGCCAGTATCTTACTGGGCTGTGACTGATGGCAGCTAGTTGGAAACAGAACATTGTGAGAAAATATTGTACTCAGTTTTTCACTTTGAACTTACAAGAAGTTTGCAAATAAATTGCAACATTAGCGCAACATTCCTGTGAATGATGTGAAACTTTTTTTTTTGTTACATATATAAGTCACACAATGTCTAAATCGTCTCCGTTTTGGTCACAGTTTATTCTTCTTTTTGTCTTTTTGCAAAATCTTTCTAAATTACATACATTTGCTGCACTTTCTGACTCAAGAAAACCAAATTAAGAAGAGTTCGAAACAGGTTCTACACACCTGGGACGACTCGGAAAGTTTCCTGGGAGACTCGCGAAAGGAAATTTAAAACCCTCGCAAACGTTTTGAGGCATTTTGGAAACTTGTGAATTTCATTCACAAATCTAACACCAGCTGATAGTTATATTAAAATAGACACAGTTAAGAAAAATACCACCTAATATGTATCTATGAAGGATTCACAGTTGATGGACTGAGGTCTGTCTTTACATCCGTCACACGAGTCACATCAAGGAAACAGGCACTTTGAATGTACTTTTCATGTTTGTGACTTTGCTATCATGTTCCTTCTGATATGTTTAGTTGTCCGTCCTGTTTTAATGCTGGGCTTTGTCTCAGTTTTTGTTTGCTGTATTTGTAAGGCACCACTGTTGTGTCTAATGCAGGGGTCTGCAACCTTCATGATCAAAAGAGCCATTTTTTATGCCTTTGTTCACTAAATTAAAAGTGTTCAGAGCCACAACAAGAAGCTACCACTGTGATTATCAACTGGTGGCCCATGGGCCACTTTAGGTTTGTTGGAGGGGGCTTTTGTGGCCACTAGGAGTGACATTATAAAGCTAAAAATATCTAATGATTTTTAACACTTGTTGATATTTTTACAATTTAAAACAAATGAAAGGACCAGATTCTTGTAAAGAGAGGGAGGGGGATAGTTTTTTTTTAATTAATAAAAACTATGAAGTATGCAGACCTGTGTAATTTTTTTTAATTGTGGAAAAATTAATGAAGTATATAAATAAAGCGTAAAGTTAAGTGAGTATGTTTTACTCCTTGTACTTGTTTCAGTATTCACATATTTGTAAATTACATGACAGAAAAACGGCTAAAACTACCGGTAGTCCTTTTTTGTTGTTTGTATAACGACCAGTAAAATTCAGTTTTATGTCAGTTTTGGTCAAAGCTTGAAAGAGCCGCTGCAGAGGGACCAAAGAGCCACATGTGGCTCCAGAGCCGCAGGTTGCAGACCCCTGGTCTAATTAGTCCCTCTCCTGGTTTCGTAAACAGTGTTCGTCTGTGTGTTGTTCACCTCCCTGGTGGTCTGGTCCTGTAGTTTTCTTGTGTCTCGTTATCCTCTTTGGGTGTTTGTACTCCTTTCTGTTCACCAATCCCCACCTGAGCCTTAAAGTGGGCTCCTGGCTCCTCTGTCTTTGTTACACGCTGGATTAGGGCTGGGTGATATCTCGATATTTTAAAAATATCGAGATATATATCGTGTATCGTCATTCATCTTAAAATATCAAGATATTAATTTTGATCCATATCGCCCAGCCCTATGCTGGATTTACATTTAGATCTCTTTAACTCAACTTTTATAAATCTGCTCCATATATATTTATTTATTTATTTATTTATTTACTCTATCTCAATCCTCTTGTCCTGATTTTACTCCGCCCAACGTATTTCAGACTTGAGAAACATCTCAGAGCGTCTAATGCATGCACGTTAACAAGATGGAGGTTTTCAGTCTGATATCTGAAATCAGTGTTTTTATTACAACATAAAGCAAACATTAATGTTGAGCCAAAAGCTGCATCTAAATGATGCAGTTTACAATAAACATGAAGGCGCATCATCCAATCACACCGCAGCTATAAAATCCCATAAATTCAGTTATAAAAGCATGTTTTGGGTATTATTTAGCATGGATTGAAATTGTAATGTTTGTGCTCATGTAAACTTTTGTCTCTTGTCTCTTCTTTCACGTTCTCTTTGTTTTCTTGTCTTTCTCCTCGTCTCGTTTGTACTCTGCACATTCTCTTCCTCGCTCACTAGCTTTGGTCTGAGCAATGGACGGAGAGGTTTGTTCACATCTAAAGCTCATCGTTGTGTAGTCACAGTATCAGGACGCTCCCACTCTACCAAGTGTAGTTCAGTCTGGTCCTCCCCTCTCCTAAACTGGGATCAGCTGCAGCTTAGCTGGTGGTGCATTTCAGTCAGCAGGAGCACATTTTGAACCTTAGAGCTCATTATATGCTGCAGTTTAGATCTTTTGTCTTCGTAATGTGTTTAAGAAGCTCAGTAGAAGCTGCATTTGCAGACATTGAACTATAAATTCATGAGAAATTCAGATTTTTACAGTTTTTCCACTTTATTGTACCACACCATGGCAGTTTTTTCTGTTTTACGCTACCACCAGTTACAGCTCTAATGTTTAAATTTTTTTTTTCAGTGTTTTGCCCAACGTAGACCAGAGGGACAGAGCCTGGCTCTGAAAAGACTGCAGTTTACCATGATGATGAAGATGAAGAGAAGTTGTATTTCTTGAAAACATGAAGCACACTTAAAGGGATAGTTCAAATCTTTTAAAGTAGGGTTATATGAAAATTTTATTTTTTATCTTTTGTGTCTCTTGAATGGCCTCAGTTGGGAAAAATAGAGGCAGGGACCAAACTGACAAGCTAACAGCTAGTTAGACCAAAGCTGAGAACAAAGTCGATTGTTGTCGTATTAAGCAACCATCCATCCTTCCGTCCATCCAACCATTATCTTCCACTTGTTCCAAAGGTTGGTCTCGGGGGCAGCAGCTTGAGCAGGGAGGCCCAAGCATCTCTTTCCCCAGCCTCCTCTTCCAGCTCTTCTGGGAGGACTTCACAGTGTTCCCAGACCAACAGAGAGCATGTCCTGGGTCTTCCTGTGGGTTTCCTCCCAGTTGGACATACCTGTAAAACCGCTCTAGGGAGGCACACAGGGAGCATCCTTACCAGATGCCTGAACCACATCAACTGGCCCGTCTTGATGTGGAGGAGCAGCAGCTATACTTCGAGTCTATCTCGGATAAGTGACCCTCACCCTATCTGAGACAGTCCAGTCACCCTGCAGAGAAAACTAATTACAAACTCTTGGATCTGGAATTTCGTTCTTTCGTTCACTCCTTCTTCTTTAGCTTGACGGCCTCTCTCACTCAGGGTGCCCACCACCGGGTCCAAGAATGTCTGCCACTAGAGGCACCAACAACCTTGCAGCCACAGCTCAAGACAGTCGCCGCAACAATCGAGGCGTGGAACATGGCCCACTTGGATTTAATGTCTCCCGCCCTCACTGGGATACGGTTGAAATTCTCTCTGAGGTACAAGATGATGATCTTAAAGACAGGTTCTTCTGCTAGGTGTTCCCAGCAAACATTCACTACACGTTTGGGCCTACCGGGTCTGTTCGGCATCTTCCCCCACCATCTGATCCAACTCACTACCAGGTGGTGATCAGATGACAGCTGAGCTCCTCTCTTGACCCGAGCCGCAGATCAGACGACACGACTACAAAGTCAATCATCAACCTGCGCTCTGTTGTGTTAAAATCTAAACATACAACAACTCTAATCTAAAACATTCCAAGCCGGAAGCTAATCGATCCTGTCGGACATAAACTCAGATTTAATCTCTGTTTCTCTAAACTGAGGTCATTCAAAGAGCTAGACCCCCACTTCAAATCATCTGAACTGCCACTTTAATTTATTCCTGAATGTTTCGTTACCTCTATGAGTTTCTGTTTTTGTGACCTGGTTTGATTTCACTTGTATTTATTTAATGTGGAGCATCATGATTTGCAAAACTTAATGCATTCATGTGAATGTTGGTGTTTTTTTGCTCTGTATTAGATTTTCTTGCACTATAGAGATGCATTTTAAAAACACAAAGGTTGTAAAAACATACAGATTACCGTACACAATTTTTTAAATTAAGGGCAAAGCTGTGACGCAAAGGGCTTAGTTTTTATGAAGCGCCTCACTACTGTATAGTCTGAGCCAAGAAACAAATGAACCAAAAGGGAAGCATTTTTGTTAAAAAATACTTTTAAAGCAGAATATTTTTAAGACAAGCATGGGGAAAACAAACTAGGAAGACATTCTGAGCATCACAGGTTTAATGGCAGCACATAAAGTGAGCAGATAGGTGCAAAAATATATAAGGAAAATGTCTGAATCCAGCTTGGAAAAAATGGTGTTCAGTCTGTACCATCAGTATCACGGCTTTGTTAATTTTCAGTATCAGCTGGCTGAGATGTTGAATATAAATTAACTATGCATTAAAGTCAAACTATCTCAAACACTGCCTGTACTCTGAATCAGAGCTTGAATCGTCGACTTTCCTGCTGTACAACCGATCATCCTCTTTCTATTATTTCCTATGAACTGCCTTTGCCTCTACTTTGGTACATCAGAAAGAATTTATTTTAATTGAAATTCATTTTGCTTCAGGAATTTGTGGCACATTTGTAAATTATTGTATTTTGGAAATAAAAAATTCTGCCTAAGAACATGCTGTCACGGGCTGCTATCATCCATGACCTTTTGACCATTTGATTTGACATTTTTCTGATCTATACCCCTTTTCATGCAGGTCTGAGTTGACTGGTGCTGACATTCACAATCCTGGTTCTGGTTCAGCTTGTGGTTAATTCCAGTTAAAAGGAAGTAATTCCTTCCTATTGTCGCCCACTGCGCCAGCTTGCTCGGGATGGAGGAATCTGCTGGACTCCTTAATTTCTGTTTTGGCTAATCCACATGTTGGTGCATACTAAATCTGATAACGCATTAATGGGACTGTACAACTGGATTTCAATATGGATCTCTTTCGAACTGAATTGGACTCATTTGAATTGGATGTTGCTTTTTTATACAGAGCTGTGAGACAACTTTTCAAGTCAAGTTTATTGTTATTTGCATCACGTGATACGTGAAGTGGAAAGAAATTGTCTACACAGGGTCCCAGTTACACCCCAAAATAGCAAAAATATAAGGTATCAAAAGAAACAGTGCAGGCTATAAAGATCTAAGATCCTTCAACAGCAGCCCAAACACAAGTCTGTGGTGAGCAGATGAGTATGAATGAATGAGTTAATCAGCAGCATGAGATCAGCAGCACATATTAAGTCATCAATGAAAGTGGCAATTACAGTGATTCTTTTTGTCTTTACAGTGATTATCCTGGTTAGGGATTCACGAGTCTAACAGCTTGAGGGTAGAAGCTGTTCCTCAGTCTTGTGGTTCTACACTTAATGCGCCTTAACCTCCTTCCTGAGGGAAGCAGGACAAAGAGCGTGTGTGCTGGGTGAGTGGGGTCCTTCATGATGCAGGTGGCTCTCTTCCTGCATCACAAGGTGTAGATGTCTGTGATGGTGGGAGACTGACTACAACAGTCTTCTGTGCAGCCTTCACCACTCTCTGCAAAGCTTTTCTTTCTGCAGCTGTGCAGCCTCCATGCCACATGTTGATGCTGGAGCACAGGATGCTCTCCACTGCACACCTGCAGAAGGAGGTGAGGACTGAACTTTCCAGACCAGCTCGCCTCAGCCGCCTGAGGAAGTAGTCTCTGATGAGCTTTCTGGATCAGGCTGTTGTTGCCCCAGCTGTGGTTGGCAGGTGCACAAACAAGTACTTGTAGCTGGAGATCACTTCCACCATGGATCCCATGTTTGGGGGGTGGGGGGTTCCGTCTGAAGTCCACGACCATCTCCTTCACATTGATGTGAAGGTTGTTCTTCCTGCACCAGTTCTCTAGGTGTTCCAACTCCTGACTGTAGCTGGACTTATTGTGATGCATCCAACCTGTATCATGTATACAAATACATATACATGCATGTACGTGTACATGTATTAAAATACAAGCCACACTTCAACTATCCAAGTCCATGTAGGTTCCATTGCATAATATATGATCCAAACCTATCGGGTCAAACAGCACCCAATAGAACAATAAAACCAGCACGCAAAAAAAAAAAAAAACAACCTTGTGTGTGTATACATACATACAGTATATATATAATGTATGTATGGATGTATGGATAGATGGATAGATAGATAAAGTTATTAAACAGCATGGGATACATTTTTATTGTTATTATTATTGATGACACACAATTATATTTGTCTATTAAACCCAATGAATCCAATCAGCTACTTAGACTACAAGCATGTCTTAAAGACAGAAAAACCTGGATGACCCTTAATTTTCTTATTTTGAACACAGACAAGACTTGAGATTTTAGTTTTTGGACCTGAGCACCTTAGGAATAAATTGTTCAGTCTTTCGTCCTCCTTGCATGGCATTAATCTGTCCTCCAGCTCTAATGTTAAAAAATCTTGGTGTTATTTTTGATCAGGACATGTCTTTTAACTCCCACATTAAAAACGTTACTAGAAGTGCCTTCTTCCACCTGCGTAATATCACTAAAATTAAAACAATTTCTGTTGTAAAGTCTTTGTTGAAAGTATCAAAGTCTATAAACATCATTATATTCAGATTTTTTCTAGTCAACTTAAAGGTCAAAACTCTACATAGATGAGAAGTCCAGAGAAAATATGTTAGCAGTGATCAGTCATGAGCCACTGTTTACATAAAACATTCATGAAAACAGTTTTTAAATGCAACACGTTATAGGGCACGGCATTATGATTCAAATCAGTTGTCCAGGTCTAAGTTGACCAAACTGCCTCTTTCAATAAGGTATAAGGTTGGAAAAGTTTTTAAAGAGGATGAGAAAGGAGAAGGCAGCTGGACCTGATGATGGAGGTTTGGAAATGTCTAGAAGAGATGACCGTGAGGTTTTAGTACAAATGGACATTTGAATTTGCTTAAGAGAGAAAAAAGCGTGCTGAATTATGTCAGCCTCTATAGACAATGAATAATAATAATAAACAAAGCTGCTCAGTTAAACTTTTTTTTAAAAATCGATGAACACATGAAAGCTACAGAAAATGATTTGATCTTATCCATCCATCCATTATCTTTACCCGTTTATTCCATTTTGGGTCACAGGGGTCGCTGGTGCCCATGTCCAGCAATCACTGTGCGAGGGGCGGGGTACACCCTGGACAGGTCTCCAGTCCATCACAGGGACACATAGAGACAAACGAGACAAACAACCACTCACTCTCTCACTCACACCTAGGGACAATTTAGAGTTACCAATCAGCCTAACATGCATGTTTTTGGTCTGTGGGAGGAAACCGGAGTACCCGGAGAAAACCCACGCATGCACGGAGAGAACATGCAAACTCCACCCAGAAGGCCCCTGGACCGGGGTTTGAACCAGGGACCTGTTCGCTGAGAGGCAGCAGCTCTACCAGTTGCACCACCGTGCTGCCCATGATTTGATCTTATTACATAGGAAATAATTTGCATATCTTTGGTTTGTGTCAATATTCACATCATCTTTTTCACTGTTATGTCAAAGTCGAGAGTTTTCTGGAACGCGTTTTCACGGCCTCCCCATGTGCTTTCAAACTCACTGAGGATATCCAGATGTAGATTCACAAAAACAACAATAAATAAATAAATAAAACTCATCCAACCTCTGGTGCCTTCTGCATACAACAGACGGCAGAAAGAGTAATTAAAGACGAAATCTACAGCTGCAGCAAGAAAGTAACAACCCTCAGAAAAATAGATCAATTTATTTATATTGTTTCTCATGACAATTAAAAATCACAGTGCAGTTTCCTTCTCATCAGTTCTAATTCTAACCATCTAAGAAGAGCTAGACGTCATCCGACTGATCTCCTTTGTACGATTTAAACACATATGGAGCTGAAGTCTTGCTTGTCTGAAACCCTGAACAGCGTGAAACAACTTGTTCATCAACCACCTCGCCCTCCCTCCCCTCAGGATTTCAAAAGCAACACAAACAGATGTTGAACATCTGTAAAACATTTATTCTTGGTGAGATAAGACTTCCTTTGACTCTGAAGTGTCCACAGCTCAGAGCTGAGAGGAGCTTTCCGTGTCGCTGCAGCAGGACAGTTTGTGGTTTTATTCTTGTGTATAATGGAGGCTGGAGGGCTGTGGGTCATGCTTTGTTTTCTTCTTCTGGTGTGCTGCTCGCTCCAGCAGACCTCCTCCAAGAAGAGAACTGGCAAAAAAGGTAGGAGTGGTCAAAAACTTGAACACCAAAGTCAATGCCAACTCTGCTGTGGTAGTATGTTTATGGGATAAATGGGATTTTTGCCTTTCTTAATAGACTCTGTGGACGCTGCTGCTGTTGAGAAGCTGCAGAAGCAGATTGATGACATTGTTCAGGAGCTGAACTTGTTGAAGGAGCAACAAGCTTTACAGACAGGTCCGTTTACAGCTAAACTTACTTCAAAAACATGAAACACATTAATATGGAGCTAAATGTGCAATAATATCCCTCCAGTTGTCACGGTGATCACCATTTGATGGTCTGTGGGCTGGATTGGGTGCCTAGCCAGTGCGGGGTGGGTGGTGGAATGGGTGGGGGGTGTCGTGGAGAGTAGTCACACCCATACATAATTTATTGAAGGATGAAGGTGAGAAGGAAAACAGCAGTATGTTTTTACGTATTTTAAAACAGCCTCCAAAAAACAACAAATATAAAAAGGCTCATTTAATCTATTTATTGCGTGTTGTTATTAAAGGCAGGTGATCATGTAATGTGTCTGTTAGCAAAATATCTCATGAACCAACTGTATTTTACAGACATTAAGATAATATTTGTTTGTAAATGTAGCTGAGAGTCATCTCCATCAATTACTGGTACTCTGAGCACCAACAGATTGTATTTAAATCATATCTTAGGCCTAAGAAGGGCTCCTGCAAACCATTGGCTCCAGAGCTAATTTTGGTGGTGACCCCTTAGGTTCTAAGGCAGGGTTATTCAACTGGCGGCTCGGGAGCTTTATCAGGCCCACGGATGAGCTCAGTTTGGCCCACCAATGGGTTTATATTTAAATAAAACTAGATTTTAAACTGTAAAACAAACTTACTTAATTAAATAACGTATGGATGTCCGGCCCCTGAGCTCTTGGCTGTCAGTAACTGTGGCCCCCTGATCAATTTGGTTAAATTATCCTGAAGCTCCATGTCTTTGAGTTGGTGAAGGAGAGCCCAAACAAACATCTTGTCTAGAATCTTCTCACTGTGCTTTGTAGTTTGTCTGAAAGGCGTCAAGATCTTGGGCAAGTGTCTCCTGTCCAGCCCAGTGAAGAAGACCTTCCATGCAGCCAGTGAGGACTGCATCTCTAAAGGAGGCAGCCTGAGCACCCCTCTGACAGGAGATGAGAACGACCAGCTGTACAGCTACGTGCGCCAGAGTCTGGGTCTGGAGGAACACATTTGGCTGGGCATCAACGACATGGTAACGGACGGTCAGTGGGTGGACCAGTCGGGCTCCGGCGTGCGCTTCAAGAACTGGGAGACAGAGATCACCCAGCAGCCAGACGGAGGCCGCAGCCAGAACTGCGCCATCCTCTCCACCACGGCCAACGGGAAGTGGTTTGACGAGAGCTGCAGAGCCGAGAAGGCCTCGGTGTGCGAGTTCAACATCGTCTGAGAGCGGCTGGTAAATCTGTGTGCAGGCGGTCTTAAATGTGATCATGCTGCATCTTTCTTCAGCTCACTTATTCACCATCAGCTGCACGTGTCATAAGAAAGCAATAAGAGTAGTCAGAACATAAGCTACCATCTGTAACATTCAAATAAATTCATCACACCTTTATGTAATTCTTAAAGTGCTTGCAATGGCCTAAAACTTTACTTAAACACTGAATGGCTTCTCTTAAGTGCTAAACTTTATTAAGGGTATAATTAGCTTGCACACTTAAAAATAATTTAATAATAATGTCTAGAAGAGCATTCTTACTTATTTAATAAGCTAAATTGTGAGCATAGCCAAATTGCAGATTTTTTTTTAAGTGGCCAAAATTGGTTTATTAATCAGTTTATCTGTAATTACAAACGCCTTTTCTTTGACAATTGCTTTGTTTTAAATTGTACAAGTTGTGCAGCTTCTATTTTACGGTGATGTTCCTCTCATGCAAACCCTGTCCTGCATGTTTGTTCTCATCTTACTGGAGTTAAAAGGCAAAGATGATGCATGATGGCAATTTTCTGCAGCAAATGGTAAAATAAATAAATAAATAAAAAACAATGACGAGGAAAACAAAGCTGGAATGTACAAGTTTTGCTAATAAAATCAACAAAACAAAGAAAGAAACAAAAAACTACTAGGGTCAAATATTGAAGAAAAAAAAAGTTTCATTTGCAAAAATAATATAACGGACGCAATATTGTTTTTAATGAATACATTCATTTGTAAATATCTTGTCCTTCTTGTGGGATTTTAATGTTTGTACTCCATGTGAGAAGAGATCCCTTTTAAAAAATAGTTCTTCAGAAAATGATTTTGCAAAAAGTTGATATAACTTCTAATGAAATGAAAGGAATACATATCGCCTGCAGCCTTACAGGCCAGAGCTTGAAACTGAGATTGTGCTAAGACGAGATGGGACAGAGTTATTGTTGCAAAGACGTTCACATCATAGACAAATATATTCAGCTATTTATGTTTCTATATTAATAAAACTTCACATTCTACATTGTAAGAGTTCATGAGATGCGTTACACTCAGCAAGTGTGTTGGTGAGAACTATCAGCTACTACCACACTGAATTAAAATTCAGTGCTTTTTTAAATTAACTGACTTCTAGCCACTTCAACCAGTTCTGAACAAGCTTTAGTTTTCATTTAAACACAGAACTTTTTCACAGTTTTTTAACTATAAAAACAGCAGCATGGAACTTTCCCCACTTTAGTTTTCACAGTCACTTATTGTTTCAATCCTTCTCTACAGATTTATCATCTCATAAAAATCCACTCTGTTGGCACTGAATAAACTTGATTCAACCGTCAGATGGACATGAGTTTCTTATATCATGAGGGCAAACATAACAAGAAAATTCCTAGCTTTTTTACTCCCCTTTATAAAATACTTCATGTGGTATTAACACTCAGGTTGTAAAAAATATTAACCAAACAAGGTTTTTAAAGTACCGTATTTTCCGGACTATATGTCACACTTTTGGATGTTTTTATTACAATAGCCGAGAACAACAAAGTCCATGCTCAATAATCCAGGTATAAAATCCAACATTTTTCAGTCAGGTCATCTGGACAGTTTCTTTTTTTGTGCTGAAACGTTTCACCTTCGATCAGGAAGGCTTCACCAGTCAAGGAAACTGTAGTGAACCTGATCTGACCCTGATCTGACCCTGATGACCTCAAATCTATCAGATGGACAGAGACTGTTATTTTCATTGATCTGAATACAGTCTGAGCCATCTGGTGACTTTCTTTCTTGAATTAATCAAGCAGAAAAGACAATTCTCTATAATCATTACTGTTTTACAAATGTTTGATAATCAAATTGTGTTAGTTCCATTCAATGCTTACAGGTTGGAAAGAACTACTCATTTTTATTTTACATAAGCAGTAAGTAATGATTTTTATTCCTCATTCAAAGAAGAAATCAGGTTAATATGCATTTCTTGATTCTCTGTCTGAAATGAGCCAAGTAATGTAAGTATGTTAAAGGTCGGTTTTCGGTCAACTAAAATGTTTACTGAGAAGAAATGTCATGTTTTACTATTTGAGAAGATACAACAGCGTGAGACTCCACGAAGTCTGGTCGTCTGCAATAATCTTTTCTGTATGTTGAAAACAATCCTTGACTTATGATAACATCTTACATCACAAACCACACCTCTATTTCTGGTCCATCGACCAATCAAAAAGCTCTCAAATGACCCGGAAGTCGACCCATTAAAAATGTGGCAACTTCCCGGTTCTGGAAGAGTTGCTGAAATTAAGAGTCAGAGAAGTTCTGAAGAATGAAAGGAGTTCAGAGTTCTTGGGTGCAAACGCATTCAGGATGATCCAGAGACGTTTTGGGATTATAATTTCTGTTTGAAAACCACGTACGACTCTCTGAGGGTTTGGTAGTTCTCACGGAGACGCTGAAAAGAGTCAGAAAGGAACCTACGCCGATGCTGATTTCATCATCAAGGTAGATGGTTCTATTTTCGACCAAGTGTACCGTGGGCAAGCTGATATCTGATGGAGCGTGCAATTTCTGGTCAAACAGATTAATTCCCTCACATATTTCTCTGTAAGATAAATCTCCATTTCATCTTAAAACTCTCCTCTTTCTCATAAAATCAGTACAGATATCTTAGGAATATCTGAAGCAAAGTCCTTGATCACCGCCGAGTGATCGATGCTCATTTTCTGTGAAACTTGTCTGTTATTATTTTCATATTTTGCCAAATCAATGTAAATGTTTGATGTTAAACTTTGATTCTGAAAATAAATGACCGCATTGATTTGATGGGTCAAAGATAAATAACGTCTCTCGTTACATTTCTGTTAAATTCAATGCACGACCTTACACAGTCAGAAAGATGAGGAACTCGTGAATATTGTATGCATATATCTCATATATTGTCATACTACAACTAGTGGCACGTACCTACGTGACTACTACAAAACACACAACAAAACTGATTCTTCCCCCAACAGCTTACTCCAAAGTGGAACAAACCAGTTCTGCTTGTGATTAGATGGTCTCAGATGGTCTATAGCTGAGAACGTTCTTGCCCTATGCCTGGGCTATTCAACTGGCGGCCCGAGGGCCAAATCAGGCCCATGGATGAACTCAATTTGGCCCACCATTGGGTTTATTTTTAAATAAAACTAGATTTAAAACCATTAAACAAACTTCCTTAATGTCAATAAGTGCTGGATGTCTGGCCCTTGAGCTCTTGGCTTTCAGTAACTGTGGCCCCCTGAACAGTTTAGTTGAATAGCCTTGAGAACAAAAAGCCCAAAACAAGCCAAAATCATAACCCAAGACACTACATCTCTGCCCATGAACCATATGTTTGGGTAAACACAGAGCGCTGTGAAAGAAGGCTGCAGCTGCATTCAAGGACGCCTCGGCTGAGCTGAGAGGAGAATAAAAACGAGCAGCGAATGCAGCTCGTGTCTTCATGCGTATACATCTATGTATGTGGTATATGGCTATGTATGTAAACTCTCTTGAAGATATTGTAAGAATAAAAAACAGTTTAAAAAAATCTTCTCCTGCCATTGAATATGGGTAAACATTAGTGAGATTTTCTCCAACAGGTGCAATTTGTTTTTTCTCTTTTTTCAATCCATTATTAAGAACAGACAAAAATGTCTGACAAGTGATTGTAACTGATACACAGATTAAAATGGTAGAAATAAAGGGAATATTTATTTAAATAGCAACAAACTCTCGTGTTCTACATTATTATTGTGTCAAAAAACCTCAAACTAAGACTGCAATAGTGCGTGTGTATTGATCTTTGTAAAGCTAAATCATGCTTCTGATGCATGATCAAAATTCCAGGTAGATACATCAGAACAAGGTTGAATCAGTTCCTCTGGACGGATTCTTAATTGTTGAAACGTTTTGTCTTTTATCCAAAAGATCCAGTTTAACGATGGACGGGTTCTGTTCACAAAGATGGCGTCCTTTACTTCTTTGTGAAGAGAACCCCCCATCACTAAACAAGGACGGAGGCCTCCATGTCCAACTGTCCCTCTCTTATAATGCTGTGATTGCATCACTCAACCCTCTGTGAATAGCAAACAGCCATCAGGGCACTAACAATCCATTGTTAGGCTGATGGTCCTCCTTTTACATGTGAGCAGCTAGTTCTGGATGTCATCAGCAAACTGGCTGATCCACTATGAGAAGGTGCCTTTTATGACGGCTCAAGGAATCTGTTGCACCAAGCATCGTGTTCACAAATTAATTATTATTACAATGTCCTCCTCTCTTCTATTTTTAAACTATATATATATATATATATATATATATATATATATATATATATATATATTTATATGTATATATGTATATATATATATGTATATGTATATATATGTATATAAACAAACCGGATTCCAAAAACGTTGGGACACTAAACAAATTGTGAATAAAAACTGAATGCAATAATGTGGAGATGGCAAATGTCAATATTTCATTCGTAATATAACATAGAAAACAGATCAAAAGTTTAATCTGAGTAAGTGTAACATTTTAAAGGAAAAATATGTTGATTCAAAATTTCAGTGTCAACAAATCCCAAAAAAGTTTGGACAAGTAGCAAAAAGTGGCTGGCAAAAGGAAATTGAGCATATAACAAACAGCTGGAAGACCAATTAACACTAATTAGGTCAACTGACAACATGATTGGGTATAAAAAGAGCTTCTCAGAGTGTCAGTGTCTCTCTTTTCAGTGGCAAAAACTATCCATCCATCCATCCATTATCTTTACCCGTTTATTCCATTTTGGGTCACGGGGGTCGCCGGTGCCCATGTCCAGCGATCACTGTGCGAGGGGCGGGGTACACCCTGGACGGGTCGCAAGTCCATCACAGGGCCACATAGAGACAAACGAGACAAACAACCATTCACTCTCTCACTCACACCTAGGGACAATTTAGAGTTACCAATCAGCCTAA